TATGTTCAGGAATCTAACACAAACTATATGGACTAGTCTCAAATAGTGCACTGGCTTCTGTAAATGAACTTCACCACACTGAGTTCAGTCTTGGATACAGTATGCATGCCAACAGTGGCCTTGTGAAAATGCAGTTTCCAGTCCCACACAACACTAGAGAATCAGAATGATCCTCAGGACATTCATTTGTCCACTGAAGCTTGCCACACAAGCTGGTATTAATACCCATCATCTCTCAGAACACACACATGGTCTGGGTATTCCCAACATGTCCTCCTCACTAGGTGGGTGGATATTCTGTTACCTAACATCCCCACCTACCATCATCACCAAAGGAGCCTCTTCCCATCTTTACCCAATTTGATGTGAGACCCTCACTTGCTACCACTTGTTGATGGTTTATTGATTGAGGAAAATCTAGCAGATACAAGATTTGAAATACAAGATTCTCAATACTCTTTGGAAACATTCCTTCTTACCTTGCATTCTCACCCCTATACAGCTTTTACAGTAATAGTGTAGTGCTGAGACTCATTACTAATTCAATATAATATCAAATGGACATTAAAGAAAAATACACTTCGCAACTGGTACTGCTTTAAATTTATGGCTGTTTAGCTATGACCAAATATAGCATATTGTTTGTATAATATGCTTAGTAAAAATGAAGGTTCAATATGACAATCAATTATAGCTTTCTTCCCTTCATTCTGGTGGGAAAAAGTGGTACAGAAATATTTGCTGTCCTCTTCTACTTAACTATCTACAAGTAAACAACATTTGAATAGAGTATATCATCTTCATTCTGTAAATATTTAGTGGAACCACAAGGTTTAAAAGGCAGCAAAAAACTGATGGAAAGGTAGAAAAACAGGGAAAATGTATGCTTTTGTGAAATTGTTAGAATTGAATGCACCAAAGTATGTATTCATTAAAATGCATTTTAAACTAATACAACTATAAAGTATTGAGAGGTGATCATAATGGCTTCTGCCCTGTAAAGAAAAGGTATGATAGTTCACAACCAATCAGAAATTTACCACAGGAAACAACCTGAGAAAAGTATTTGTCTACATCATGCTGACTTGTCATTCAGGAACTGGCAAACAAAGAGCTTGAGTCATGCCAGATCAGCAGAAATGGCACCTGAGAGGAACTCAGTTACAGCATAAAGGTCATCCACATCTGATTCTCTGGAGGACCCAGGTATCAAGATATAACCAAGTGCAGCTAGGAAAGTTGACCAAGATGAGGAATTACATGGTAGGCTCTATCTGTACAAAATGAAGATAGCTACTGTGTGCCTGTTATCAGTAAGAACCTTGACCATCAGAAGTATAAATATTTGCTTAGTCACCTACCTAGAGACACAGCCAAATCCTAGGTCTTTCTCATGACAGATAGGCTAGAAAGTAGCCTAAGATTATCTTAAAACCATTTCCCACTAAGGGGCTTAGGAGCATATGAACCACAGAAGCAGCAAAAGGCACAGAGCCCACTTCCTAGACATGAATAGTTCACCCTGCAAGACAAAACAAACAAACCAACCAGGAACAAGGATCATTTGAAAAGTGGAAGAAAGTGGAGCTGGAGCAGAAACATAAAGATGCTCATGCAACATCTTCACTAAAGAAAATATCTGGAAATGCTCATGTGGAGAGGGCTTGCCAAAAAAGAACACAGAAGCCACCAGGAAGGAGCTCTCAAAGCAAAAATTTGCCCATCAAAATGTATCTTGCAACACTTAAAATACTAACGTAAATCTATCCTAGTATAAGTAAATAGTTGAGAAAAATAAACAGCATAGTGATATTTGACCTGGGCAAGATCTACTATAGATGGTAAAATTAGTGAGTAGAATCTTATTCAAAAGGAGTATTGTAAACCCAAATATCCAGTTCAGTCATCCAAGTATTGTAACCCTCTTTCTAGCTTTCCTCACAATCCAAAAGATATTTGTAATCTCGTTGAGATGTTATTGGAATCCTAGCAAGTTAAATCCAATCTACCACCACCAATCCAACCCACGGGCCAGAGTAAAGACACCAAGACATGTTCCAAGTTAAGGGCAGCCAAGGGATCTTAAGTCCAATCTTGGAGAGGATGTGCAGACAAAGTCCTGGGTCTCAGGTCTCTCTCAGCATTTACTATCTTGTGAAGAAAGAGGGGACGAGGTGCGGTGATTAGTGAGTAACTAACATGAGCTGGCTGGCTGACCAGGTGCAAGAATGGCATCTTTGTAATTTGCAGAGACAAAGATATGCAGAAGATCAATTTACATAACCCAATTAAGGTAGCAGTGAAATTGTTTTGGGGCCTATACCTTTGGTTTCTGATATGCAAACTCTTGTGCTCTGGGAAGTCACAGCCTCTTACTTGAGGCTCCTACCCTGTTGACATTCCTGGAGCTATTTGCTCTAACATCTCTCATGCTCAATCTTGTATTGTGGAGAACACTATGTGAGAAACAGGACTGCCTGATGGCTATAGATGTTGCATATGAGCACATTAGCACCTCAGCTAGCCTGTTTGCAATGCTCAGAGCCAACTGAAGAGAGAAGGAAAAACCCTAGCCAGCCTTTTACATATCAGTATAAGGAAATGAATCTCCAAGTAATCAAAGTCACAGTAATTGTTTTGGATTCAAAGGGAATCATTGGAATTGTCTCCCACAGGAGAATGTTTTCATGGTTATGAAGGATGTCTCACAAGAGTTTATTAATTCCAGAGGGATAAATAGTAAACAGTTGAGAAGCCTGACATAACTTTAATGAAAGGTTAACATGACTAGTAATGAAATGTATTATGTCTAGAGTGCAATATTATGTTTGGATATCACAAACTGAGAAAGGGGCCACCTAACTTCTGGGATATTTTCTGGGATGTATAGCTGCAATCAAATCATGCAAGAATTTCAGGCAGACTACCACTGAGGAATGATCCATAAAGTAACCAAGCAGTATTCTTCCAAAGTGCCAAGACTGTAGAAGACAAGTCTATCATGAGCACCTCCCACATAGTGAAGAGACCAGGCAGACATGGCAGGAAAACACAGTGTTCAGAGAGAGGGTATTGTGTACTATAAAGTGGCTCTGTGTAGAAAAACTTGAAATCGAAGCAGGACGAGATATTCAACTAATGATATCATATCCGTGTGAAACTCATTGATTTGACCACAAAACTTAGGTTAAATAAAATATTTTCAGTAAAGGACACTGGGAAAATGATAGTTTGAACTCTACTGGGTTCTACTGGTTCTGTAATTTTTCTGTAGCCTCAATAAATTCAAAAAGCTTAAAAGACATTAAACCACTTATTTACTAAACAAAATGAAGTTTGGGATTTGCTTCAGATATTGTTTACAGTTGTTGGCAAACATGCCCTGTACTGGCTCACAGTTCAAAAGAGTAGTGAGATATAAACCCAGCAGTGAAGAGCAATACAAAAGGGGGGCAGAGGATGGCTGGCACAGGAAAGCAGGGGTCTTAGCAGGAGAAGCCGTGCACATGAGGCTCGAGCTAGAGAAACAGGCTAAAGAGAGAAAGGCAGCCAAGAAGAGCAGGGTTTGCAAATCTGCCAGCTAATGCAGTCGAATCCTATTCAGGGCTGGGACACCTTCAGCAGATTCCTATTCCCTGTAGAATTATACAGTTGTATTGATAATTTAGCCCACATGAGCATTTCCAGATATTTTCTTTAGTGAAGATGTTGCATGAGCATCTTTATGTTTCTGCTCCGACTCCACTTTCTTCCACTTTTCAAATGATCCTTGTTCCTGGTTGGTTTGTTTGTTTTGTCTTGCAGGGTGAACTATTCAAGTCTAGGAAGTGGGCTCTGTGCCTTTTGCTGCTTCTGTGGTTCATATGCTCCTAAGCCCCTTAGTGGGAAATGGTTTTAAGATAATCTTAGGCTACTTTCTAGCCTATCTGTCATGAGAAAGACCTAGGATTTGGCTGTGTCTCTAGGTAGGTGACTAAGCAAATATTTATACTTCTGATGGTCAAGGTTCTTACTGATAACAGGCACACAGTAGCTATCTTCATTTTGTACAGATAGAGCCTACCATGTAATTCCTCATCTTGGTCAACTTTCCTAGCTGCACTTGGTTATATCTTGATACCTGGGTCCTCCAGAGAATCAGATGTGGATGACCTTTATGCTGTAACTGAGTTCCTCTCAGGTGCCATTTCTGCTGATCTGGCATGACTCAAGCTCTTTGTTTGCCAGTTCCTGAATGACAAGTCAGCATGATGTAGACAAATACTTTTCTCAGGTTGTTTCCTGTGGTAAACCCTAATCCTAACCCTAACCCTAACACCTAACCCCTAACCCTAACACTAACCCTAACCCTAAACCTAAACCTAACCCTAACCCTAACCCCAAACTCTAACCCTAACCCTAACCCTAACGATAAATCTAACACTAACCCTAAGAACAACCCTAACCTTGTCTAACCCTAACCCTAACCCTAACCCAATCCAGAACACTAACCCTCACCTTATACCTAATCCCTAACACTAACCCCAACACTAACACTAACCCTAACCCTATCCATTACCCATTTCACAAATGTAGATTGCTACCTCATGATTTTCTCTATCAAGACCTGTTTCCCTCCACCATTCTACAACAGTCTTCATTCTCCACAAGACTTTTGTGTTGTCATAAATCTTGCATAGTTTGCCAAGCATAGAGGCGCTAACCTGTAATCCCAGCACTCAGGGGGCTGAGGTAGGAGTATCCTTGCAAATTCAAGACCAGCTTGGGCTACAAAGTGAGCCCAAGGCCAGCCTGAACTTCATAGAGTGACCCTATCTCACAAAGACAAAAAAAAAAAAAAAAAAAAAAACTTGCATAGTTCAAAGATATATGAAGTCTCATGGCTTTTTGGAGCCACTAAATGAACTTGAAATATGTTGTAGTGTATTCATAGCTAATCTTGAGGTGCAACATTAATGATTTAGTTAATGATTCACCTGGCTTGCACTCCACTCCCGAACGTGAAAGCAGTGGGAGTGGCTGTGCCTGCTGGATCCAGGCCTCTCCTAAAGGCAAGAGGTGTTGCCATATTAAAGCAGCCACCACACTCATCCTAGTTCTTTGAGGTGCCCAGGAGAGAGCAGTCAGGACCTTGCTCAGGTGGGTGATGCTTGTTCAAATGTTCGTAAATGTTCTTGCATCTGTTTCACTGGGAAAATGTTGTTAGCTGTGATACTTAGAGTACTTCATGGTCCTCTGCCTTCTTTGGATGTTCAGGGGACAATTAAGGCCTGGAGCATTAGTTATTTATGAAAACCCACTGCAGAGAATTTACAAAATGAAGGGAAAGTAGCTGATGCCATGAGAAAACTAATACGACAACTACAGCAGCACCTGGGGGTGAACAGGAGCTGACAATAAAGTTGTGTTCTCTGCTAAACAGGTCGTGTTAGAGGGATTCCCACGAGTCTGCACACAATAGTACTGGATTTGTGTTTGGCACGGTGACATGTGTGGAGAACTGTTTTATCAATAAAAAGAGAAAGGATATGAGTGGGTGTTTGTCTTTTGAAGCTAAATGTTTGGCTTGGAAATCCGCCATGTGTTCCTGCCAGTCAGAATCTAAACTTACACTTGTATAGTTGATTTCACACACAGTTGCTAATATTCCTGAGTTACTTGTCTTCAGCCATCAAGTAGTAAGCTATTTGTCTTCCTCCTTTTCTTCATCTACTTTTCTTTCTCCTTCCCTCTGTTGCCTACTGCTCCTTTCCCTTTGATTCCTCCCTCTCTTTGTTTTTCTTATTTCTCCTCCTCCCTTTTTCAATAGTAGTGAAATCAAACAGTGGTTGGATTTAGTCTCAAATTTGCAAGTAAGTTTACATGAAAGAGACTTTTAGGTTAATAAGGCATGTAGAGATACACATATTTCTTCAACAAAATTAAGAATTGTAAGGTGTTAATTTTCCCCCCTCCTCTAGGAGTTGACCCAGAGGTTGTAAACAGGCTGTCACAGAGAAGCTGTAAGAACTTTTTGTCAAATAAGAGTGTACCTGAATGTCAGATTTCCACATAATGTAATCTGCATAGGTATCCATATCTTTATCAGAAAACTTAGTACAATAAAGGTTCTCTGTTTTTTTGTTTTGAGACAGAGTCTCACTAAGTAGTTCTGGTTGGTCTTGAACTCACTATATAGCCCAGGCTGGCCTCAAACTCACAGTGATCCTCCTGCCTCAGTCTCCCAAGTACTGGGATTACAGTAATGTATCACCATACACAGCTAGTTCTCCATGAAACAATTTTTATGATTTAGTGATAAAAATGAGAAACTGCTTAATATGTGATAAGCATTAAATTTGTTATTTTCCTTATGCTATGTAGCAACTACATCTTTAATAAATTATAAAATAAATTTACGACAGCAGTGGAAACAGAATTATAGGAAGAAAAATAAGTACCTTCACTCATAACAATAATTTAGGTTTTGCTAGCAGTCAGGAAAGACTAAGAACAATGCAGTTCAGTACCCCAAGAGTTGGGGAAGGTCTTTCCTACTGCCACCTTCTCTCTGTTACAGATGTTCTGTAATTTTTAAGGACCTTTTCAGACTTACACAGCCTTTCACAACATGTGACCCAGTCTGTTCTGTTTCCATGTTCAAAATGTGGTTAATCACCACCTGTCTAGGTTTGGTGCAGATTCCAGGTGGCCACTGATGGGCAAAAATTTTGGAGAAAGAAGTTTCTGACACTTGTGCAATGCTTCCTTAAAAACAGAAATCCTCCTTCTGTGTTGTTGGATCACTAACCATAACCCTAAAGTACAGTTTGCTTCTGTGTATTCATAACTTCATGCTTTCTCCATTTAGTGAAACCAAGAGACTACCAGTATGTCGGGGAAGCCAGTGCTTCACTATTTCAATATCCAGGGCAGGATGGAGTCCATCCGATGGCTCTTGGCTGCAGCAGGAGTAGAGGTGAGTTGTCAGTTCTTTGTATGCTGGGCCTGAAACTGACCACCGAAAGAGTTTTCTAAGTCAAAAGTTTTTCCTCTGAGACTAACTGTGCCAACTTTTGCCATAAATAAATATATCCCAACTTATTAATAAAGAAATAAATGGTTTGACCAAATAAAATTATAATTATCTTTCCAACAAAAAGCACATAAGCAATTAAATATATTTGTGAAACAACTGAGAGATGTTAAATAATTACAATGTGTAGAATTTATCTTGATTCAAATGAACTTCAAAATATCATTTAGGATATTTATACAGCAATTAAAGAAATGTGAATTCAGTACTAGGTAGCATTAAAGAATTGCTGTTAGCTTATCGTATGATGTTAATTCTGATGTTTAAAAGCGATCCTTAAGTTTTAGAGATACCAGACAAGTCTAAAAGTTTGCAGACCATTTTCTTTATTAGTATGTTTGTAGTGCATAATGTTTCATTCTTTATGGGAAGTTGGTACATGTATATAACACATCTTAATTCTTTTTTTACCCTCATTCCCTTTTCTCCCTTCTCTCATCCATATATTACTTGATCCCTTTCATTTACCTAAATTTTATCTTAAAGAGAATAAAACCAAACAAAATAGAATAAAGCCAATCAAAATAAAATAGTAAAAGTAATACAGAAATTCAAAGCAGAAAAATAGAAAATCAACCATGTGGTACCATAATTCCTCTTGTTATTTACAAACTTGCTGCCCTTAACATCATACATAACAAAATTAAACAAAACAGAACAAAATAAAAACAATCTAAACAGAGCATGAAATTTTTTAAAAAAGCAATAAAATGGAAGAAAACAAAAGAGAGAGAGACCAGGTATATCTCTGAGCCAAGAAACAAAGAAAGGATTTCAATGGGTCAGGGGAAGAGGTATTGTCCTTTTAAGGACATTGTGTAGTTTGTGAACAGGAAATGCTACTCTGTGACTGCTCCATCCTAGAGGCACCACTGGTAACACTTCTCTTAGGGCACAGAGCTAAGAGAACCAGACCTAAGTGAGGGGTTTCTAGCTGTTAGAAAGGAGGTCATGGACACTGCGTAGGTGGTGTCCCTCAGGTGCCAAAAGAAATGGAAGGTTAAATGGTGATGTGACATCCTATGAAGGGGACTTCTAATGTGACCCCTTTAACACCAATAACAATGTACTGATTTAAGCCTGGGGAACACTCAATCCTTCATAAATGTATGAAGCCTCATTCTTTCTTAATTTGTCAATAAACAGGTGCACACAAACAAATCCAAATTGTGTGCTAGCACTATTCCAGGTTTGTTCCTTCTATAAAGGAGTGATCAAGTTTCACCATCATCCAGACAGAAGGTTGGTGTTCTGAGATATATTTCAAATTTCTGGGAAGAATGAGTTCAGCAAAGGAGGGGAATATAGGGGCAATGTCCTCAGCACGGAAGGCTTCCTCTTTTTCTTCCCACCATGCCTGAAGAGAGTGGTGGACACGGGCTGCCTGGAGACTACTGCTCACGTCTTCTGGGTTCTCATTGCCCAAACCTTTCAGCCTCTCCACCCTTAACTATCTCATCTTGGTCATCCTCCTGTGGTGACCAAACATGATCCCTAATGCTGTGTAAGCTGGTGGCACATACTTTTGATGGCCTGCATTACCAGTTTTAGAGCAGGGAAACCAATAAAATGTATGCTACTAAAAAATTTAGGAATCTACTTTCCAATTTCACAATGGTTTCATGATGAAAAACTTCTCTTTTAATCTAGGAGAAGGAAAGGAGTGATGTCATTTCCATAAAGGGTCCTCTGGGAACAGAATCATAGTCCTTGGTCCATGATATACACCATGATGAGGGCACAAAAGTTCTGTTCTTATGGCACTGGACATTACCGAATTCTACTGGGAGACTAAACACTCCTGAATAGAAGAAATTTCCAGACTCTACCTTCAAGGGACATCCCTCCCAAATTGTGACTTGACCATGGATGTTGTCAGGGCAGAGATGAACTCTAGAAATGAGCAGCTGTGTATGATGAACTATGTCATTTTCTTCTTTCTTTCTTTTGGTACTGGAGAATGAACTCTTGATGTTGTGCTTGCCGGGTAGGAACCTATACCACTGAGTTAAATCTCTGGCCCACCATTTTCTTATGAATCTAGCATAAATTTTCAGTTGGCCGTAAAATGACGCATTTGCATTCCATGTCAATCTTAGAAATTTTTACTTCTTTATATTATCTGTATTTCAGGGACAACTCAAGTTTTAGAGACTATAACATTATGGCACGAACTAATAACATTTTATTTACTTTTTCTACTTTCAGTTTGAAGAGAAGTTGATAATGTGTCAAGAAGATTTGGACAAGTTAAAAAATGGTAAGACTGAGAATCTGAGTGCTTCTGATGAGGATTTCAAGTATAAGCTTTTAACATTTATGACTCAGGTTTCTAGTCACTGAGACATAATATCTACCACTCACAATTCAAAGGAGGAGAGGTTTAATTTGACTCACAGTTCTGGGGATTCAGGCCAAGGTTGACTTGCTTCAAGGCCAAAACATTCAGTCAGAGGAGTGTGGCAGAGAAGATATTCTTAATTTGGCCAGGAAGTAGAGTAGCAGGATGGTGCCAGAGATGTATTGCCGAGGTGCAGACATAGTCTGCTAATCTTCTAGGGATTTCTTACTCCAGTGACATAGGCATATCATAATTAATTCTTATAAGTTCCTCTTGAGAACTTTACACCCAAATTTTAATTTCCAAATAAAAATAATAGCAAGTTCATAATTCCATTTTACAGAATACAACTGTCACACCTACAACTTGAAAGGAAATATTCCCTTCTCAAAGTCTCAGAGGTTCCAGTGTTTTCAACAGTCCAAGTGAGTGTCTTCTGACACTCATGGCAAACTCTGAAGTAAAAACAAATTATGCAATTCAAAAGTAAATTGATACAGGGCAAATAATCCCATCTTAAAAAGGAGGAATAGGAAGAAAGAAAAATCAGATCAAAGATTGAACCTTACCAAAACAAACATGAAGTCTATAATCCTATATCAGATATCTGGGGTACATAATAACAAAATGTGAGTTCCAAAGGTCTTGGACAGCTCCATCCCTTTGACCTAGCCAGTTGTAGCACAAATGGCTACTCATGGCCTGAAACTTTTCTCAGCTGATGTTTCATGTTTCTGGTGCCTCTTACTTTCTGGTATCTCTACTACACATTTGGCTTCATTCTCATAGTATACCACACTGCTTTCTCAGCAACTTTTGCCTGGCTTCCTAGGTCTTCTTTTTTAATCTGGGTGGAAGCCTCCCTGTACTTACAACTCTTGCATTCTGTATGCCGGTAAAAACAACACCATGAGGACAATGCCAAGATTGGCTTCCAGTTAGAAGGGTAGCTTCTACATACCCGTGCACCATGGTTGCTGTAGTCCCTGAATTCCAGAAGGGCTGAGCAGGGTAAACTGATTTCTGAAGCAGGAATTCCAGTGGCTCACTACTGAAATGAAATATTTATAGATTTGTATACTTGAGCCTGTACTAGGTAGAGTCTTCCTGATTTCTGAGGTTCTGTCAAGTCATTGTTATTCTTGTTCCTATTTAAATTACTTAGTTCCTTTTCATGAGGCCAATCTCTTCAACAGCCACACCTCTTTTGATCCTAATTTATATATGGTTCCTATTGGGCCAAAATTTTGCCTTTTTAAAGGAATTGAGCTGAGCTATAAACATGTAGCAACTCCACATAAGAAATGTAAACAAAACAAACAAAAACTTCCCAACAATATCCCCTCAAACAAAATAAAAAACAGAAACAGCAGCAGCAACAAGTAAAAACAAAATAGGGGCTAGGGATTCAGCTCAGTGGCATAAGCGCCTGCCTTGCAAGCAGGTAGTCATAAGTTCGATCCCCAGTGCCGATAAAAAGGAAAAAGACAAAAAAAAAAAAAAAAGGAAGGAAATCCATAGATAGATCTATGGGGAGAGAAGGAAGGGAAAAGGAATGAGAAACAGAATTAAGCCAAGTGTGGTGGTGCATATCTGTAATCCCAGCTCTTCTGAGGATGAGCCAGGAGGATCACCAAGAGGTTGAGTCCCACCTTAGCTACATAGTGATTTCAAGCCCATCCTGAACAACATGTCAAGACCCTTTCTTAACAAACACAAAAAGAAAAGAAAAGCAGTTAGGATATATTATGTACATGTACCAACTTCCCAAAAAGAATGAAAGCGTTATGTACTATACACATTTTCATGACTTGTATCTAGATACCCCCTCAAAGCCTCACATACTCATAGATTGAGCTTCTTGGAGGTGCCTGAATCTAGAGTATGTGAGTATGGGTTAAGGGTGTACAGTAAATGTATTGGTCCATTGGTTGCATCATTCTGGGCGGGGATAATGGGCATCCAATTTATAGGCTTGCAGCCTGTATGAAATAAAATGGAAAGCAGGAGGAAGACTCAGTGCCTCCTGCCTGCCCTGCCTTGGACTGTATCTCCTCTACCTTAGCTCTATGCTATGCTGTCCTGCCTTGGAACCAGCTGACTATGGGTTGAAACCTCCACAAACTGAGAGCTAAAGTAAATCTTTCCTTCATTAACTTGAAGATATCAAGTGCTGTGTCTAAGTGATGAGAAAAATAACTAAGGCACACAGATGTTAGTCAAACAACATTTTTTAAAATTCAAAAATACTTCTTCTTGACTTTTTGCCTCTAATTCTTATGTCAAATCAGTCTAAGAGCAGTCAGAAGTACTCATGGTACCAACTCAAAGTTGAACTATCTTGAAATTTCTGCCACTATATTAATTATGCCACTGACCTTAATCACAGTGTCCTGAAAAGTCTGAGGACCTGGACAAATGTAAACAATATCTGTTTTTGTACCAGACTGTAATACAGATGGATTTGAATTCAAATGCCAATGGAGCTTTTGCTCCCACATGAAATATCCTGAGTCTGGCCTTTACTATCTGCATTCTGGTCTTCAGAGCTCTAAGCAGATTTCCTCATCAAGACCTGTTTATAGTATTTTAAGGTTTATGTAACCACAACTTTGAATATCTGTGAAGTCCTCCCACAAACTAAAGCTTCTAAATCATATGGTACAGTTTCAGTAGCTACCTCACTTTTCTGGTACCACTGTTCTGCATTAACTTTCTCATCACTGAGACACATTACTTGACATCCACAATGTAAAGGAAGAAAGGTTTGTTTTGGTCCATGTAATCAAGGAATCACTTCAGGACTGGATTACTTCAAGGCAGAAATATCATGGCAGAAGTGTGTGCAAGAGCAAAGATACTTAGATTATGGGAAGAAGGAAGCAGAGAAGGGTAACTGTGTGAGAGATGAAAGAGCCATATAGAGTACTGAAGAACAGATAACCATGATTCACCTTGACACACCCAAGATCTTGCTCTACTAAAACTGTAGACATTCCTTAAACCAGTGAAGTCAACATATCATGTAATGCCAGCATATTGGAAGGCTTGTCGAAGAGATGGTACAGAGGTAAAAAGTAGTACAATGTAAGGAATGTAGATCCTGAAGGAGCTCTACAAATTTAAAATTCATAACTGAGAGATCAGTTATGAAAAAGACTAAACCTCTCTGGGGATACACACCATTATCTCCAGGGCCCTCTAAACGCTCTTCTCTCTTTCTTTATAGTGATGGGATTACAGTCAATTCAGGGTCACACATTGTCCTGCTACTGAAGCACACATAGGGCCATTCATTAGATGACAGGAGGAGAAATATATGGGGCCATTGTCTTTTTTCATTTATTGCATATGAGAAGTAAGAGCTCAGCACCATCGCAGGCTTGGTAGAATACAGGATGAGATCTCTAAGTAGACACCTCCCACAGAACCTACTTTAAATGTCATGATCATTATAAGACTTACTTTGGAAACTTTCCACTTCAAATGACATCCAAGTGTCAATCTTGTTTCATCTCTCCATACATTCCTCAAATACTCATGAAAATAAATAATACAAAAAAATCACAAGAGATATTGCATGTACATGGATGGGAAATAAAAGACAAATGAATAAGTGAAGATAGGCATGGTGGTGCATGCTTATAATCCTAGTACTCAGGAGGCTGAGGCAGAAAGAGCACAAGTTTGAGGCAGGTCTGAGCTACATTAGAGTACAAGGCCAGCCTGAAGTACACAGTAAGACCCTGTCTCAAAACACCAAAATGTGGAAAAAAATCAAGGAGTTAAAAAGCATATGTAAGAGAGACAGGAAGATGATGGGCTACCGGAAATTAAGAACAAAATTCTGTTTTACTTGAAGGTGACCAAGGAATAGTTATTTCCCCATTAATCACTTCCAAGATCATTTTTTCCATCCTGAAATCTTAGTATCTATTGTACTTCACCGTTTTTTTTTCCTTTCTTATTTCCAATAGATGGGCTTCTGATGTTCCACCAAGTGCCCATGGTGGAGATGGATGGGATGAAGATGGTGCAGTCTAGAGCCATTCTCAACTACATCGCCACCAAATACAACCTCTATGGGAAAGACATGAAGGAGAGACTCCTGTACGGTAGATTTTCTGTTCTTACATGGGAAAATGACACAGGGAGAATTTAGGTTACATCTACAGCAAGCAAGACCATGGCAGTGGTCCTGGATAGGACAACAATGTGGGCCTGGATAGATATAGTGAGATGATTGGAGAAAAATACAAGATGAGATCACTATGTTCTTATAAGATGACAGAAGAGTAAAGTTGTAGATTAGGATGACTGGTTCTATCAGAACATGCTATCTTCAGACACCGAAGAGTTTTCAAACACTGGTGAAGCATGAAATCAAGAGGATGGTAGACTCATAATATCAGGTCCTCAGAGCATTATAAATGGGGCTTTAGTTAATGGCTTGGGACAAGTAACAGGTGTTTGAGGGTGAGGAAGAGAAATCTTGGTGTCTGAAGATCCAAAGGAGGCAATTCCAAAGTTCCAAAAATTATAATAATGAGGACCTGGAACCTAACTTACCAGCTAATCCTATGGACAGGTCAACTTGATAAGAGTTAGTGGCAGCCAGTGCCCATGTTGTATGGGCCACCTGAAACTTTCAATAGAATACAACAGCCTGGGTGAATCTCAAGAAACCAAGCCCAGGGGGTTGAGTGTACTCTTCCTATTTTGATGGAGCTGTTTAATTTAAATAATATACTGTATAGAATCAATGGCAGTTCCTCAAAACATTAAGTGCAGAGTCATTCAGAAATTTCTCTACAATGGTATATACCCTTACAAAATGCATAAACATTTATACATCTTTTGATCTTTTTTGAGACAGGGTCTTGCTCTGCAGTTCAGGATGGCCTTGAGCTCACATTGTAATCCAGGGTGGTTTTGAACCACAGTGATCCTTCTGCCTCAGCCTTCCAAGTGCTATATACTTATTTAGATATATTGTTAGCATTATTCATAATTTTCCAAAGTAAAAGCATACCAAATATCTATAATACAGGAACAATAAGTGAAGGCAGAACAAAAGAACAAAATATGCTAGAGGCAGACAATGGTAATGCAAAGAGAGGAAGTGGTGATGCATGATAAACAAGGATACACATTGCATTGTTTTATATAGAGTAAGGAAATGAGATTCAAAAAAGTAATTTGTTCTGTGACTTTGCATGAAATGTTCACACTGTTAAAGTCTATAGAGATGCAAAGTAATAGGCTTTGAGGGAGATGAGCAATGACTGCCCATAGCACAGAACGTTTTGGGGGTGGGTTAACAAAATATTTTGAATAGTGAATGCTAATGTTTTCAGAGTTCTATGAATATGTAAGAATACCAAATATTAATATATAAAGCATGGACAATATAGGTATGTGAATATGTGACAAAACTGTCAAATACATTTTTGAAAACGGTTGTAGATACAGCTTGAAAAATCAGAAATAACTGGCTTCCATGGCATGCATTAGTTCAACTAAATTTAAGAAACACACTGAGGAAGGGGCGAGATTAGTGACGGTGAAACTTTTTTGACCTCTCAGTGATAACAAACAGCCTGCTGCAGCATATATGCCTTAAGTTTGGTACCACTGGGCTGGACAAAGCAGAGTCATGTGCGATGGAAACAAGGCCAGACTCGGAGGAACACACGGGAGAAGGTTGTGGAAACCTGTTCAATGGGAAACTTATAACTTTGGACATGGCAATGAGCATGTGCTGTGTAAAAAAGATTTGAGACAGCAGACAGCAGACACAAGCCTGAAAGTTTGTGCCAGGTGTTGTATCATGAGTCTACATTTGAGGCACATAGGACAGACAGGAGGTTTTGCACACACAAACCACACAGCTGCAAATCCTGTTTATACTCTGAGTGGATATATGTAGTGATGGCATCAAGATCTTCCCTCATTGTGACTCTGATCCCTCCCTCAATGCTCTTTGTGCTGGTACTTGGTCATGGATATGGCAAAAATTTTATGTATTTTTTGTCTACCTCATAGACTATTCTAAGAATTGACAACAGAAAAGTGAAACTCATAGTGTAATAGACAATAATATATAAAAACTACCCACTGCAGATGAACTACTTTGTAAGCACCTGATGTTCTTATTTATTTAGGTTTTAAACAGTAAAAACTAAGATAACGAAAATTTGACTGTTGGATGTGCTGTCTTTCAGGATCGATATGTATACAGAAGGAATGGCAGATTTATTTGAACTGTCCTTTAAAGTGATATTAGGTCCCCCAGAGCAGAGAGATGCTACAAAATCGTTGATTAAAGACAGAGCAAAGAATCGTTTCTTCCCTGCCTTCGAAAAAGTAAGTGAAGCTGCTTAGAGTTTTAGAAAGCCAAATTCGGGGGTCAGGAGGAACAGGGCTGGATGCTCCCAGAGCCTTTACCTTTACATTTGGTGAACCTTTGGAAAAGCAGAGCAGAGCCTGCAGGCGAAGGAATTGTCAGGGTGGACTGGAAAGCCGCATTGGAGGGTAATCACCAAGGTATAATTTTTGAGTCAATGTTCACTTTGTTACACACGGTTTAGAATTCAGCACTCAACAGGATTTCATGGTCATAAGACAACTTGGAGAGTAATAGTCTGTGAGTCACCCTCCAGGTTGTGTGGCCCTGAAGAATGGCCTGAACTTCCATTCCAGAGCAACCTGATGAGAACAGTGGATCTCAAAATGTTCTGGTCCAAGTACAGGGAGACACTTGTCTTTACAAAGTATATTGGTAGAGGGAAGGAAAGGAGGGGACACTAGGGGATTATAAAAGATCATCTACAGGACTGAGGTACATGGCTCCAAGACCTGAGATGAAAGACATGCAAACTAAGGAAATAAAGGTCCATCGTTGCAGATATAGTCCCTACCTTAGTTAAGGCTTTGTGAAGGTAACAAAAGAACTTTTCAAAAGGACAATCATGTGAATTTAAGCTGAATAGAAACAAACAACCAGATATGATTATAAGACACACAAAAGACCTGCAAATGTATTAGAGAACTAACCCATCAGTACTCATTTCATAAAACATTGCATTATTTTTTCTTTTATTCAATGAGCCAATTTGTTACTGATTTTATCTAATGAAAGAAATGACTTCTCATGCATTACAGCTCATGCATGATGCATTATTAACTTCTCATGCATTACAATTTAAGTTGCAGCATCGGCTCTGTTTATTCCTTGAGAACTCCTCATGGAGATTATAGTCTACTGTAAGGAAGGAGCAAAGGGGATAATGAGTTCGAGTTCCCTCAGGTTAGCTCATATCCCAGAGAGATAGCCAGGAGACGAGGAAAGCAGAGAAGGGAGAAAGGACGGTACTCAGGTGACCGCAGTGGTGAAGGGAGCCAGCATGACATTAGAGCCAGGGCTCCTGGGAGATGCGGACAGAGGAGGGGAGAAGCAAGTATGCAGATTTCAGGCTATGAGCAAATGGAAACTCGGTACAGCAGAAGCTGAAGCCTTGGTATATGCAGAAGGTGTGGGCACAGGCTTGGGCACAACTGGGGCGTGGATATGAGAATGAGAGTGGCACCTGGGTTTTATGTAGGAGTGAGCAGAGGCCACTTCTTAGCCTCCCTCATGGGTCAGGTGAAAGATCTGGAGCACCAAGCAAACTAAGGGAGTCAGAAGAGGCAAAAAGTCAGGCTGAGAGGCTCAGGGAGAAATTAGGACCCAGTCGGCACATATTTATGATTTTGACTCCTCAAATTCTCCAGGTATTGAAGAGCCATGGACAAGGCTATCTTGTGGGCAACAAGCTGAGCAAGGCCGATATTCTCCTGACTGAACTTATGTACTGTGTTGAAGAGTTTGACGCCAGTCTTTTGACCAACTTCCCCCTGCTGCAGGTGACTGTTCCACTGCCCTCACAGAGGCAGCCCACATCTCCCACCATGAATCTCATTTAGTTCCATAGTGAAGTTTGCGCCCAGCCTTCCCCAGGCCTTCAAATTCCCCACCCGTGCCTCTAATGTGAGTGCCTACTCCTCGGATTTGAGATATGAAATTAATCTTTTTGTGCAAGGAAATGTAAGGTATATGCTACTTCAAAATTATTTTCTGTCTAACAGGGCAAGTGCTTAAAGCCCTGTGTCTTCCGGCTCCACCATTGCCCTGTTTACCTGATGTCCTTTCCTCTGCTCTGGCTTTCACTACCAGGGGTTGTGTATTTCTCTCCATAGGTCTATCGCTTCCCAGCCCACACAGCACCCTACTAACAAGCAAGCCTTACCAGTACCATTAGTGCGAATGTTGGTTATGACTAGCCCCTGATTAATATTTTGTATCTTTTTCTCAACTTGAGTTTTTCTAACTTTACATTTCCTTGCTTAGATACATTTATTTGTTTATACCTAGCAGACACATTGTTCTCTGTGAGTTGCAAGGATAAAAATCAAGTGTTTATGTCTGAGAGGACAGGGATAATTACCACTAAATGAAAAATTAAAAGGTGTGTTTCAGGAAGTGCTATTGAGCTATGCTTTCTGCTTCTTGAACTCTGTTCACTGTGTGTTTCCAGCTCTATACTGCAGCTAATAGGTTTTTTGTAGGGGTGGGATGGGGGCTCCCAGGGTTTTGTTAATAGTTGTTTTTGAAATTAAGATCTGCCATGAGATTGTGATTTGTATGTTGCAGGCTCTAAAAACCAGAGTCAGTAACCTGCCTAATGTGAAGAAGTTTCTGCAACCTGGAAGCCAGAGGAAGCCTTTTACTACTCCAGAAATGTTCGAAGAAATGAAAAAGAGCTTCAAGTTTTAATATGGGTGGTACTGACCAAACCATGCATATCAAACTTCTAAATTTTACAGCAATACATTTTTATGTAAATATTGATCTCTGGCATTTCTAGATTGTATATCACAGTGCAATAACAATATTTCTTTAAGAAGACAACATTTATTTTCTCAATTAGGCTTGGATGTGAAACTGAATTTCTAATTTCCTTTTTTTCCCCTGGTCTTTTCTGAGACAGGGTTTCACTATGTAGTTCAGGTGGGCCTTGATGTCATTTTTTAGCCCAGGTTGACCTCAAACTCACAGTGATCCTTCTACCTCAGCTTCCTGAGTGCTGAGATTATAGGCATGTGCTATTACACCTGACTCTAATGTCCTTTTTTAATTTTTTATTTAAAAGGAAAAAAAACCAAATCAAAATGGTATAAGGGTACAAGAAATAAAGAATTACAAAAAAAACAGTAAGAAATCACTAGTTAATAGATTACATATTGTCATCTTAGAAATAATTGTTCAAGTTACAGGATTAAAGCATACAAAGTGGACATTCAAACAGTGAGACTGCAAACAGTTGTGTTCAATGATCCAACAAAAATTCAGTAGTATGGTCATCTATCTTAACACACCTAAACACATTTGCAGTTGTATCCTTTAGAGCACTTTTTTTCCTCTCTTTTTTTACCACAAAATTTACACATTTTGGGTTTTATTACTCCCATAGCTCTTATTACATTTTTTGGAAGAGAATAAAACCAAATATGACAAAACAAAGCTGTCATTCAAAACCAAGGATAGACATAGCACATGATGTAAAAACAGAATACAAGGTTATCAACAACGGTTACCATAATGCTTCTTGCTTCCTTAAAAAGAATTGCCTATATCATTAGGTATAATAAAGTTGAACAAAACAGTACAGAACAATACCAATAAAACCTAAACTTGAGACATTACAGGACTTCAAAAGAAGATAGTAGTCAAACCAGAATGGGCATCATAGTGAATCTTATTGCCTTCAAAGTAGTTGCCTATACCCTCAAAACTTGATTCTATCAAACAGAATGGAACAGAGTCTAATCAGTTAAAAGAAGATAGTGGGAGTAAGACAGGACTTCAAATAGTTAATAAGAAATCAAAAAAGTTGCTATAATATATCCTGCTAATTTTTTTGATTTCCCCTTAATTAAAAACATAATAAAAGAATAAAAAATAAAGAAATTTTTAATGAATAAGGGGGAGATTGAGATAAAAGAGGACATAACAACATAACAATACAGGTCAAAGCATGACTGTTTCAGCAACTTAGTGTTCCACCACCAAATAACCCAACTTAATAGTAGTTACCATAGTGTCTTTTTCTTGAAATATTTGAATATAACATCATATACTATAGCATCAAACATATCAAGACAGTGTGACACCATTCGAGTGGATGAAAATATTACAGAGTATTTAGAATCAGCGAACAGAAAATGAGCAATGGTTTCTACATTATCTCTCTGCCTATAAAAATTTTTGTTTATACTATCACATATAATAAAATCCAGTAAGATAAAACATGATAAAACCAATGGAGAGAGAAGAGCAACAGTTTGGTGGGGCTTCAAAACAAGATGATATTAAATCAGCACTAGCTATTATGATGTCTTGTTTTCTGCAAAATAGCTGTTCATTTTATCCCAGGCAATAATATCAAGCAGCCCAGAATAAAACCATTCCAATTAGTGAGTGAAAACTTTATAAGTCTTGAAGGCCACATAATGGGGAATCATGATTACCACATACTTTTATATATTTGAATCATTTCTTACACTAGGGAAACTATTCATTTTCACACATGTGAGTTTATTTCACTTATGAGAATGGTCTCAAGCTGTGCCCATTTATTTATAAATATCTCAATGTGATCATTCTTTATAGCTGAATAGTACTCCACTGTACAAAAGTACCACAACTTTTTTATCCATTCCTCAGCTGATGGACACTTGGGTTGTTTCCAAGATCGGGCGATTGCAAATTGTGCTGCTATAAACATAGGTGCACATATATCACTGTGGTATGATGCTTTCAGTTCTTCTGAGAATATGCCGAGTAGTGGAATAGCTGGAACAAATGGGACTCCCAATCTCAGCTTTTTGAGAAATCTCCAGAGTGACTTTCACAAAGGCTGTACCAGTCTACACTCCCACCAGCAGTGCAGGAGAGTTCCTTTTCCCCCACAGCCTCTCCAGCATTTGTTGGTGGTTTTCTTGATCCTGGCCATTTTTTCAGGAGTGAGATGAAATCTCAGTGTGGTTTTAATTTGCATTTCTCTAAAGACTGATGATGATGGACATTTTTTCATGTATTTTTTTGCCATTTGTATTTCTTCATCTGAGAAGTGTGTATGCATCTCAGATGCCCATTTTTGGATTGAATTTTTGAATTTTGGGGGTCTGAGTTTTTTAATTCTTTGTATGTTTTAGACAAAAGTCGATTGTCTGAGGGGGAGTTCACTAAGATTTTTTCCCAGTTTGTGGGTTTTCTTTTCACTATGCTGGAGATTTCTTTTGACATGCAGAAACTTTTTAATAAGAGGTGGTCCGAGTTATTGATTCTGGGAAGTATTTCCCGTGGGGTTTGAGTCCTGATCATGAATTCTCTACCTACCCCTATGTCTTCAAAGTTTCTACCCAATTTGTCTTCCAATAGATTTAGTGTTTCTGTTTTAATACTCAGATCATTGATCCATTTAGATTTTAATTTAGTACATGGTGATAGACATGGGTCTAGTTTTAGTTTTTAGCAAATGGAAAGCCAGTTTTTCCAACACCACTTATTAAAGAGACTGTCGTTCTTCCAGTGAATCTGTTTGGACCCTTTATCAAAGATAAGGTGGTTGAGTGTGTTTGTAGTTATGGTTGTATCTTCTAATCTATTCCATTGATCTTCGGCTCTGTTTTGATTCCAAGTACCATGTTGATTTTACTATGGTTGTTTTGTATTACAACTTCAAGTGAGGGATTGTGATGCCTCCTGCCTTGCCTTTATTGCTTAGAACTGCCTTTGCTCTTCTAGATCTCTTCTCACTCCAGATGAATTTTAGGAGTGTTTTCTCTAGATTTATAAAGCATGTTGATGGTATTTTTATTGGGATTGCATTGAATCTGTATGACAGTTTTGGGAGAATGGCAATTTTCACAATGTTTATTCTTCCTATTGATGAGCAAGGGATGTCTTTCCATTTTCTGAGATCATATTCAATTTCTTTTTTCAGTGTATTATAATTTTCCCTGTATAGGTCTTTCACTTCTTTCGTAAGAGTAATTCCTAAATATTTCATTTTTTTGGTTGCTATTGTGAGGAGTGTGGATTCTCTTATTTCTCTCTCTGTGATTTTGTTGTTAGTGTATAGGAATGCTATTGATTTCTGAGTATTGATTTTGTATCCAGCTACATTACTGAGTTTATTTATTATATCCAAGAGTGGCAAATAAATACATGAAAAAATGTTCAGCATTATTGGTTATTAGAGAAATGTATTTTAAAGCCACACTGAGATTCCATCTCACTCCAGAAAAAAATCGCCAGGATCAAGAAAAATACCAACAACAAGTGCTGGAGAGGCTGTGGGGAAAAAGGAACTCTCCTCCCCTGTTGGTGGGAGTGTAGACTGCTGCAAGCATTGTGGAGGTCAGTCTGGAGATATCAAAAAGCTGGGATTGGAAGTTCCATTTGTTCCAGCTATTTCACTGCTAGGCATATTCTCAGAAGAACTGAAAGCATCATACCACAGTGATATATGTGCATCTATGTTTATAGCAGCACAGTTTGTAATAGTCAGATCTTGGAAACAACCTAAGAGTCCATCAACTGAGGAATGGGTAAAAAAGATATGGTATTTTTGTACAGTGGAGTACTTCTCAGCTATAAGGAATGATCACACTGAGAAATTTTAAAAAATGGATGCAACTTGAGACCATATTCATAAGTGAAATAAACTCTCATGTATATCTATCGTATAGTCTCCCTAGTGTAAAAAATGGTAAAAGTATATAAAAGTTTATGGTAATTATGATTCCCCATTACATTGCTTTGAAGCCTTATAATTTTTCCATTCATTATCCTGGGCTGTTTGATTTTATTATCTGTGATGGTATGAATAGGTATTTTGAAGAAAACAAGACATTTTAATAGCCAGTGTTTATTTAATATCATCTTGTTTTGAAATCCTACCATATTTTTGTTCTTCTTTTTCCATTGGTTCTATCATGTTGTACCTTATTGGATTTTATTATGTGTGGTAGTATAAACAGATTTTTTATGGACAATGAGAAAATATAGTAACCGTTGTTCATTTTCTGTTATTTGGTTCTGAATGCCCTGTAATAGTTTCATCCTCTTTAATGGCTTTACACTATTTTGTTTGATGCTATTGTGTATGAAGTTATGCTCAACTATTTCAAGGAAAGAGACATTATGGTAGCTACTGTTATATCAGGTTGTCTTGAGGTTAAATACTGTGTTGCTTAAATTGTTCTGTTCTGATCTGCTTAGTTATGTGCTCTTTTGTCTTAATCTCTTTAAAATAAAAAAATTAAAAAGATAAGGTGGCTGAGAATGTTTGTAGTTTGATTGTATCTTCTAATCTATTCCATTGATCTTCAGTTGTGTTTTTATTCCAGTATCAGGCTGATTTTTATCACAATAACTTTGTAGTATAACTTCAAGTCAGGGATTGTGATGCCTTCTGCCTTGCATTTATTGCCCAGAATTGCCTTTGCTATTGTAGGTCTTTTCTAGTTCCAGATAAATTTTAGGAATGATTTCTCTAGATCTGTGAGGTATGCTAGTGGTATTTTGATTGGAATTGCATTAAATCTATACAAGAATTTTGAGAGAATGGCCATTTCACAGTTTATTCTTCCAATTCATGAACAATGAATGCCTTTCCATTTTCTGAGATCTTCAATTTCTTTTTTCAGGATATTATAATTTTCACTGAATAGATCTTTTACTTCCTTTGCTGATTAATTCCTAAGTATTTCATTTGTTTGAATACTATTGTGAAGGGTGTGGTTTCTCTTGTTTCTCTCTCAGTAAGTTTGTTGTTATTGTATAGGAATGCTATTGATTTTTGAGTGTTGACTTTGTGTCCAGCTACATTACTGAATTTGGTTATTGCACCTAGAAGTCTTTCAATGGAGTTTTGGGGTCTTCTATGTAGAGTATCATGTCAAATAATGGTAATTTAACTTCTTCTTTTCCTATCCTTACTTCTTTTATTGCTCTCTCTTGTCTAATTGCTCTGGCTAGTATTTCCAGCATTATATTGAATAGAGTGGTGATACTGGAGAGCCTTGTCTTGTTCCTGATTTTAGTGTGCAAGCTTGCAGCTTTTGACCATTTAATGTGATGCTGGCTATTGATTTGTCATGGTGATTTATATCATATTAAGATAAAGAGCATCTATTCCAATATTCCATATGA